AGTAGCTGGGACTACAGGTGCCCGCCACCACGCCTGGCTTTTTTTTTTTTTTTTTTGTAATTATAAATTTCATCATGTTATAAGTCCCATCATATTATGCTTTAATGAATTAACATTTTTTTGGACCACCTTTTCATTAAAACTTCGTGACGCACATAGGATACGGAATAAAGGCTGTGTATATATTCTCATCACGTTGCTGATTTGGGCTACATGTACCAGAAATGTGATCCCTCCCCCGTGGTATGCTCCAATTTTTGCAACGAGTGGCAGTTTACCCCCTTTTATTTGATAGTATTACTTTCGGGGAAGCTGTCTGTATATAGGCATTCCCACAGGCACCTCTGCCCTGTGTGCAGCTTATTTGTCTTTTTTATGTAAAGGGATTACCTTTGGGTACCTCTGGCTGAAATGAGTTAGTATTAACGTTTTACACTGGACTTCTAGACCTGTGGTGTAAATGTGTGCAGTTATTTGTGGAGGATTTAAAAAAAAAAAAAATGATGAATTGGGGCAATCACATAAATGCGACATCACAACAGTGGTTGTTTGTGTGTTTTTTTTTTTTCTTTTTGTTCTTACTAATTTGCATAGCCTCATGTGTTGTAGAGTGCTTTTTATGAATGGCTTCGTCTAGCAATTCGTCATCAAAGGTGGCTAAGAATTTTAACATTGGTATGTACATAAATGGAATGGTCTTAATTTTGTTGCCCTACTATGTCGTAGGGAACACTTATAGGTGCCTCCTTCGTACACAAGTTTGACATTTTCCAACTTTTTTTTTTTTTCTTTTTACCTTCGTGTATCAAAATGTCACAGTTTTTGGAGAACATTTTGACATTATCGCATGGTCTTGTGTCCGCTGAGTAAACGACGGAACCGATATTTTCGTGTTCAATTTTTATTCCGTAGGACTCTTTAACATGCTTAACCTGTGAGGGGGAATGTTGCGTAGAGATTGTGCAGATGGAGTATGCGGAGGAATGGTGTAGAGGGATTCTACAGAGCAAATTATGCTCCTTCCTTTCCGAGGTGTCCGTAAAATGTGCCATCCTGGAACGCACGGGGTGGAACAAGCAAAGCGCCGCAGTTACACGCATCCAATTCTGTATTATGAATAGAAAAAATTTATAAAACATCCGTACCTTAAAAGGACGGAGAAATACAAAACTGTCGTCATCGCCGAGTTTTTCCTTTACTTCCAAATTTTCTTCATTGTACAAGACGTTCACTGGTTTGTCAAAAAAAAGTTCACTAAATAAATTCATCCAACTCTTTAGCGTTGACGGGATCAATATAAGCGGGTCATCGAGGTGTGGAAAAAGGATTCTGCGCATATGAAGTAGATAGTAAAGTCCCATGTGGTGATCTGCGTGTGCGTGCGAAATGAATACTACTCTGCAGTTTGAGGGGGAGAAATGAATGTAAAACGGGGTGTATATTTATGCATCTTCTCTGTGCTGTCTACGGAGGTGTAACAAATGTTACGAAACGGAAAAGGAAAAAAAGAAAAAAATACGCTCCTTCCAATTTAATGCAAGCAATGTACTCTTAAACAATTCGCACAGGGCACTCTTGTGGAGAAATACAAATGTAAATACACTGCGGAACGTAGGTGGATTACTTAATCGACTTAATGGTCTTGGAAAAGTGGAGCCACGACTGGCTCATCCAGTAGAGCTGGTAGAGGGAGCCCTCTCCAAAATCTAAGACAATTCTGAAGTCTTCTTCAACGTTTAAAATGATGCCAGAAACGTTTCGAAACGTTGAGGGCATTGAACAACCGGTACCGAGAAAATAAAAGGAAGGAACTTTTAAGTAACTCTGTGTTGCTCTATTGTTAAAATGCTCAAATCGCTTCAGTAAATCTTCATTATTCCTTAACACGTTCGATATTTTCGCGGAATTAAAAATTGTTGGATATAATTCGCGCAGCATCTCATCCGTGCTTATGCTAACTTTGTGAAACGGATGCAGAACAAATTTGCTCAGGGGGTTGTACACAAGGTAGGAATCGCCTTGTTCGCACTCTGTTTGGTTTGCCGCGTCTTTCTCCAGTTTTTTCTCCACTTCTTTCTCCGCATCTTTCTCCATTTCTTTCTCCACTTCTTTCTCCGCATCTTTCTCCATTTCTTTTAAACCCCCCGCGGTAGGACCATATGAGGCGCTCTCCTTTTGTGAGGAATTCCCTATTTGGCATGTGGGTCCACCCTCCTTCTCAGTTGAGGCCAATTTCCCACCTTCCTTCCCATCATCATCATCTGGTGATGCGTGGCAAAGATCGTACAGGGGGGTGTCCGCTATGTACTTCAAAAAAATGGTAGGCAATAATTTCGAAAGGAAGTTGTTCAATGATGCTGTGGAAACAAATGGGCATACTTTCAAGGAACTACTGGATTGATTGCATTTAACATTTTTCACATTTTTTAAACTTAAAAAAAATTTTTTATAATTGTCCATATTAGTAATTTCTTCCCCACATAAATGAAAAATGTATTCCAAATTTTTTAAATAAAAATTTCCCTTAGTGGCAAGTTCATCCAACAAATATTTTACATCAGCAACATCCTCTAAATCAATAACTAGGGCCTTCCTTCCGTCTATGTTTTTATCGCACACATCTTCAGGATTGATTACTTTATTATTTAACGTAATAGGCTTTCCAGATTTTAGTATTCCGTAGTATTTTCCTGGCGGAATATTTAAGCTCTTTGCCTTTTCGACGTGGAATTTTCCAATTGTTTGAGGACACTCAATTGCATAGCAAATGGTGCTGAACTTTTTGTTAACTTGGCCCTTCTCTGGTTTGATCCCTTCGTCGTTCCGTTCGTCTTCTGCAGTGTTGGGGGACCCCTCTTCGTAAAGAAGCTCTCTATCGAGCTGGTTTTCCTTAGAATTTCCTTCACTGGGGCGGTGTTTCCGGTGAGTTTCTCCATTTTGGGTGTCTTTTGGGGAATGTTCTCCATTTGAGGGGTGTTTCTTGTCTGCTTCGCCATTTTCGTGGACACCTTTGTGATTGTCCCCATTCAGGGTGCACCCTCCCTGCAGCTTCCTCCTCTTAAAATTATCCAAACGGCTTCCCCCAGACGAGCCATGTTTTACTGCGCCCCCTTCAGGTGAGTGGTTCGTTGCCTCACGATGCGTGTCAGCCGATTCGGGAGCTATTTTGCCTTCAATATGATTCACTTCTTCTACGCACTGGTTGGGCATGTCACTTTCTCCTTTTTCTTGTAGCACTATTGGCGTTATAACAACGTTCCCCTTTAAAACGAATGGAAGACTCTGACAAAATTCGTGTACTTGTAATTTTATATTTTTCAGTTTCGCAAAGGAAGACATGAAATTGTTAACTATCTGTTCTATCGGCTTCGGTCCATAAATCGATATGTCACTATTTGCTATGTTGTCTATGGTTAGGAGGAGACCGACTAACCCTCCAATGGTTTCTGGATTAATTTTCGTAAAAAATATATTCCTAGTTTTAACGACATGTAACTTATGTTCGTTCAAAAATCTTTGCATGTTTTCTCCACAGTTAAACAGTGTAAATTCTCCGTTCACAAATAGGCGCAGGCTTGGAGGCACTGCAAGCTTGTGACACCCTACCATTTGTATGTACATCTCCATTTTATGTAGCTTGTCTGTTTTCTTTTATGGAGACCTCTTTCGGTGCAGCCCTTTTTTGAGGTGGGCTTGGCTATCTTGTTCGCGCATCCGGCAGTGGGCTTAAGCACTAAAGCAATATGGGTTCTAAAAATAGGTTCAAATATGGGTTCGAAAAACGGATTGACAGATGGCCGCACAAGTGCACCTCCTTGAAAGGCAGCTTCACACGGGGAAGAAGTCTTCACTGGTTGGACGCCGTGCGGAAAATCCTATCATTCGTGACTACGCTGGTTTAGCAACTTTGTGCATATATATGTTTGACGCAAGCATTTCAAATTATGGCAAAAAAAAAAAAAAATAATGAAACGAATAAGTAAAACAAAAAAAAGGTATTTAGGGCCAAGTTAAATAGAAATCACGATGAGTTAGGGGAATGAATTAAGATGGAAAAATTTCTTGTCCTCCCCTGTTAAAAAAAAAGTGAGGAAGATAAATGCTACCCCGTGTTTTATTCGAAATAGAAGAAATTATGACCACTCACAAAATGAGTAAATAAACGACATAAGTGTACGGACAAGGATTATGGTTTGAATACTTTTCCTGATGGACCTCCCTCTGAACGACGTACTGCGCCCGCACCTTTTTTTTTTTTTACAACAACCTCGCACCCATTTGTTTAAGCGGCTTTGTTACAAGGTTAAAGAGTGATCTGTTGCAGGGAGGGGAGTTGCCTCGAATTATACGAATCCGACTGAAAAAAAGGCAGATGCAGTGATCGCCCTTCTCATAACAAACAAAAAAAACGAGAAATAAAAAAAAAAAGCAGCAATGTACAAACGGCGCGATTGTTAAAACATGGGTAAGGGACGTGTGCCCATATTATATTGTTCATTTAATAATGGAAAATTTTATGCAAAAATACTTCCAAGTGCTAACACGTGGGGAAATGTTAACATGCGTAGAGTTTGTCAAACAAGAGAAGGTATAAGCAGAGTGGAAGCTCCTAAGGAGCAGTTTTTTAACCGCCCACTTTTCGTAACCAAATGAGGTGAAGTGATGCAAAATTAGGAACATCCGAACATGTTATGAATCATCGAACACCCATCTACACAATCCCCATTGTCATATTTAACCCCATTTTATGATCACCTACGACGGAATAAATGGAATGTGGATATCGAAATGAAGGGAAATTCCACCAAGTTGTACTGACCATAAAGGAGAAAATTGAAAAGCACGATTTAAGCAAGTGGAAGGACATTGTCAAGCCCGAAGAGGGTCCAAAATATGACGAATATTTTGAACGGCAGCTGAGGGAGGACAGCCACGAAAAAGGCAGCCAGGAGGACACACACGAAAAGGACACGCACGAAAAGGACACCAACGACGATGGTGTCCACGAGACAGATGATCTATCCGCGGAACAGGGGGAAGGAACCCCCCTAGAGGGCTCCGAACCACTTGGGGACGAAGAAAACAAAATGCAGTTTAAGCTCAACAAAGAATTCTTCGACAAGATAAACAATAAGGAAAAATTTTACTTCCTACTGAACATAAAAGAAATGATGGAAACTAGTTGGTTACTGGCACAGAAGAGGTTGGAGGGGATTAAATTGGAGGAAAAGTCCAAACCGGTTAACGTCCAGGACTTATTAAATTACTCCCAAAAAATTGCAGACACTACATGTGCCCCACCAGAGTGCGACAACATAAACGACAAAATAATGCATCAAGAATATTACCCCAATTATCATTTTTTAAATTTTGTAAATGTTGAAGAAATACATTTGTCCAAACTATTTCAGCTGCAAAAATATAGTACTGTTTGCTTCCCCCCAATCATCACCATACAGGAGGGTAAGGAAAAGATGCTCGTTGTTGACATCACCTGCTCTACTCCCCACGTCACCATTTATTACAGAATAAATGATGAGACAAATGAGCACATATATAATGCAGATGACAAGCCGCGAATTAGGAAAAGAAAAAAGATCAATGTTTACGCCTGGTCAGTTAAAAATGGACATATAAAATCGAGAGTTTCGTGCATTTCGAAATCCTATAAAGTCGAGGAAGATGATTCGTTTTCCCTTTCCGATAATCTGCCCAATAAAGAACAGGGGGAACAACCGCGAGGCTCCTCCAAAACGGGTATCGAGGCTAATTCCTCTAGTAATCGATCTCAAACTACAAATGTCTTTAAAAATTTGGGCTTCTTACTCAGCCGAAAAAAGGAAAAAACAGAGGAATCCTCATCAAATGGGGAGTCATCGAGTGAGGGGTAGGGGTAACATATTTTGAGGGGATGCCCACACCGTTAATACAAAAACAGAAGCATATATGTATGCCGCTTCCCATGAAGCAGTGTGTACGACTCCGAAAATTAGCCACCTGCACGATCGGAGAAGATGCGCACGCGTGAATTCCTAAGCGCGCAGGGACTCAAAGAGGAAAGATGGCCACAATGTGGAGGCAGATCATTTTGATTATTTGCCCAGAGCTGTGCAGCGCGCGAAGTAAGTAGCGACTTATGCAAAGGCGATCTCTGCAATGGCGACCTCTGCAATAGAGACCACTACAATAGCAGCCACTGTTGTATTACCCATTTGTTCACTTCTGATCCGTCTTCCGCTTCTCTTTTTTTTTTGTGCAAATTTTCCCGTGTGGGCGCAAAGCGCGACATAGAGAAGTGTACCAATATAGACCAAAACGGTTCTCTTCAGACACCCACACACATGCGCGCCACTGCATCGTAGTACAGCACGTGCGTCATATAACTGACAAATTTTTCAAAAGGACATCCTTTATTTGATCGGGCGAATAAAGCATGTTCACTTTTTTGGAATACATTTCGTACACGTGTACATATTCCTTATGTATGTTATTAAATATGGTCAACTGCATATCCTTTTTGACATGACTTGATTGAATTTTGTTCACCACATGGAAATGATTAAACTTCTCCGAAAAAGAAAATTTATAGAAATTTTCCAAAATGAGTTTTATTTCCTTTATGTTACTTTCCTCCCCTTTCCTAATTTTGTCTAACTTTAAGGTGGCCAATAAATTTTTATTTTCTAGCTCCAAGACTTTTTCCATTTTTTCATCGATAATTATACCCAGCAAATCGTAGTACTTAGAGGAGCCTTCAAACATTTTTACATTTTCTTGCATAAATATAAATATATTTATAATAAATATGTAATCTCCTTCTATATTCTGATTTTTATTTTTTAAGGAGTTATTTATTAGGGGGTTTATTGTGATGTCAAGGACGTTTTGAAAATTTTGCTCGTTGCTGTGGGAGCCGAATAGGGCACTGTTTCTTCTGTATATAGAGTATACATGATTTAAGGCACTGAATATTTTTTTTATGACTGACAGTGTGTTGTCAAAATAATTGGGTTCGTCCACTTTGGTGATTTTACTAAGGTAGAAGGTGACAACGTCTTTTTGCCACACCGCGATGAATTCGTTCTCTATATTTTTATGTATTTTTTGGGTATAGTCTAGCAGCTTGCAGTTGTATTTTTCTACCCCGCTATTTTTCTCGCCTAACTCGCTTCTACTCCTGCCTGTTTGGGCATCCTCCACGCTGCTTCTCGCCCCGTCATCCGGCTGAGGAATGGCGAGTTCATTCGCGCTGTGCCGTTTTCCTTCCGCACGTTCCGCTTGATCCACAGATCCATCTTCTTCAACCATATTTGGGACAATTCCCACATTTCTTATTTCGTCTATATCTGCCCCCTTTTGAGAATATTCCGTGTTTAGATCGTTCACTGGTTCACCGCTTAACAACTGTTCTTCGTTTGTCTGATCGGTGCGGTGTTCGCTGGCAAGTTTACTCTGGGCACCATCTGGGATGCTGCTGGGAAGGTCCCACAAAATGGAATTCCTCCTTTGAATTCCCTTTCCAAGATTAATTTTGTAATTTTCTAAGAATGAATTTTCGTGGAGAGGGACTCCACTCTGTAAGTTGGAACCACTGGGTTGACTACCATGCAAGTCTGGATTAAAACGTATCATTTCGATGGAATTTTCTCTAATTATATCTTTGACATCTTGCGTTATTTCGCAATCGTCTTGAAATTCTTTCAATTTTAAAATGAACATGTTTACCATGTGAAACAGTTCATAACATGTATCGTAACTCTTCGGGTAGCTACTCAAATTTGTGTCTAAAAAATGTTTGTAGGGGACATACAAGGAGTCAATTATGGTGTATAAATTGTTATGCATATTTTCCACGTGAGCAGTTATGTATGGGATTGCTACGTTGGTATAATAATAATTGAAGAGAAGCAGGATTTTGAAGAAGTGATCCTCCGACGTTATCAAATAGTACATTGTTGAAAAGAAGTTTTTAAATATTTCTATTGAATCATCTATGGAGTGGAACGCCCCCTCTGTGTTGTTCCTCCCCATTATCTTACTACCATGACTGCTAAATAGTTGGTTGTAATTTCTCTTTAGCAACTTTATTCTAAAGTGCAAAAAATTGGTTAGACACATGTTGAAGTATTCCATATTTTCGATAATAATTTTATAGCACAATTTTGTCAAAGGGGAAAAATTCTGGACATAATTTTTTATCATAATTTTTCTCTTTTCTTTTTCTTCCGAAATGGGGCACAACAATAAATCGGTAACTTTGTTTCCCCTTCTGTAAAAATTGCTATTCTCTTTGATCACGTAAAGGCACATTTTCTTGCAAGCCTTATTCAATATCTTGCTGTAATGCTTGGAGTAAAATTTGTTTATTTTGTCCGTTGAATTCTCGTTTAGCAACTTTCTTATATTTTCCTTGGTGTACTCAAACTGTTTTAAGTGTTCAAAAAATGCAATATTTAGCGAAACATTTAGGTCCGTTAAATTGTTATAGCTTAGGGGACTTAAACTGTATTGCCTTAAAATTTTGTCGTAGATTTTTTCTTTCTTCCTGATGCTATATTTTTGCTTCTTCAGTTTGTTTATTTCGTCAACAATCTCGCTTGTCATTTTGCTACTTTCCAAGATTTTCT